CCGGAAGAATCCACTCAGCAAAAATCACTTTCCCATTTTCCGGCAGTGCCTTCCAGCAATTCTTCATCAATTTCAGGCAATATTCGTCACTTCAATCATGAAGAACCCACTGTCATATTTAATAATGTTAGCTTCTTTTATGTTAAAAATAAGAGCATGCCAAATAGGATGGTATTATGCTAGTATTGCAAGATAATAGAAGGTGATAAATTCAAACCCAAATTATCAACTGGACTCATCACCAAATTGATTTTTACTTAATAAAATGCTTAATTTTGGGCAGCTTTCCCATTCTTTTCTTTTTAAGAACTTTATCAAAATTTTGTTTGACTATTGCTATGTTGTTGTTTTTAAAAAAATTTGTGTGATATAATGTTTTTATAACTAGATCTCCTAATGTGTGGTGATTGGAAAGAAAGCTAATATATATATATATATATATATATATATATATAAAAGAGAAAAAAAAGAGTGCGGGCTAGAATATGCACGGTGATAGAGTTAGAAAGTATTAGACTTAGCATTGTACGGATATTCAGCATACAAAAAGAAGATGAAAGAATACCAGGATTTTTACGTGAAAAAAAACTCTGGAAAGGGAAAAAACCACGGGGTCATACCCAGTTGAAAAAGTTTCACTAGTGTTTGCTTTCGATACAAGAGGCTGACTCATCCGTAACAATTATGATGATCAGATTACAATGAATCACTTATGGATTGAAATCCAGTTACAATGTCGGGCAGAGTTCCGGCGTAAGTTGAAGATCGGGCAGAATTCTGGCGTCACTTGGGCGGAGTTTCGACGTTGGACGGAACTTCGGTGTTACTTGGGCAGAATTCAGACGTCCTGTGGAATTCGAGCAGAATTCCGACGTCCTGTGGAATTCGGGCAGAATTCCTGCGTCCCGTGGAAGTCATGCAAAATTCCGGCGGTGGTCGAGGAGGAGTTTCTTCACTCCTATTCTTCTTCTCTTCTCTTCTCCTTCATCTCTTCTTCTTTTTGCTTTGGTAGAAATGAAGGGTCTATTTATATATTTCTGGAGTGTCATGACCCGTAAATAGGTGAGAGATCAGTGGTAAATGTGGAGTGGTTGGATGGATGACTGATATTGAATCCCTTGATCGTGTACAGTTCGTCAGACATTTGAATGTCTTAATGATGTCGGAATTTGGCGATCTTGGGCTCATTGGATTTGTCTCAACGAGACGCTCGATTCGATTATAAGCATGTTATGTTTGAAACCCATTTGGTAAACCAAATTGTGGTTTGAATTTGCCAACAGAGCTTCAGGTCTTCGATTCAGACTCATTAGGGCTCGGATTGAGTCGAATTTGGTGTCGTTGGGTTCGTATTTTCGAGCCGCTCAGTTTGACTGTAAGTTTGCTGAAATCAGAGTTAAGGAGATCCCGGATTTAATTTTTGAAGTTTCCCGCTTGATTTTATCTCGAGATTTGTGCCTGATCAAGATAATTTTTTGATGATATATAATTTTGTGCCGGCTCGATTCAAATACATATCAACCTAAATTAGTAAAAAAATTATTCCCAATGTGTGGTCAATAACGGCCAGAAATAGTCTATTTATAGGTAGTTGGTCAAAAGATTTTTACGAGGAAGAAGAGATCAAATTACTGATGCTGGGAATTTTCTATTTATATGATATGATTAAAGTTTTTTTTAATGAAACAACTTGGAAATTAATTTTTATTTTTTTAAGAAATTACTACATATGTTTATTTTATCAGTTATTAAAAAAATAATAAGTGATATTCATTATATGCAAATTATAAATAATCTCATGTAATATTTACAATTTTCTAATTCTAAAAATTTATAGTTAATATTAAAAATTCAATCTGATTTAATTATATTTATCTTCATTATAAAAAGGAATTTTCTACATATAATTTAGCAATACTGAAACATATTGAATTAATATGTATTACAATATTTATGTTTCATTTGAGATAATTTTTTTACTATTTCTATAACAGTTTTCTAGCACCAATTTTTTTTTTAGAAATGGTGAAAAAATAATTGTTAAAAAATGTCTCCAATAAAACATTAATAGTAACAAAAGGGGTAAGTGTAAATAAATAATACAAAATAGATAAATATAATATTAACTATTAAGAAAAGTAAGTGCAATTTAAATTTTATTTTATTTTTGTTAAATAATGTAAATTTAAAAGAAAATTAACCTTTTATGAAAACAATGTGATTAACGGTGTAAATGAGTCGAGTCGAGCTTGAGCTCAGCTCACTAACTGTTAAAGTGGCTCAAGCTCGAACTCGACTCGAGCTCAAACTCAACTTGGAGTTTATTTTTGGCTGGAGTTCATCATGAGATCAACCTTCATGAAATGGCATCAACAGTTGGAACGTACTTGAACATATCTCCACCCACATGCTCCACTCCTGCCATCATCCATTAACATTTGAACACATGCACATATTCCACCAATCCAATAAATAATCTTCCTTTGGTTTGTTGGTTTGAGACTTTGGCTACTAACCAAGAGGTCTTTAAATTTAAAGCTTATGTATGTGATACATGTTTAAATTTGCCAAATATAATTTTTTTGAGACATTTAGTGGAATTAAGGCAAATTCACACAAAGGACACATTCGTAAAATTCAAGGTGTAACAAAAGCTCCTAATCAATAGATCAAGTGAGCTGCGTAAAAATATAAAATATCATTTAGGCAATTTGACAAACCAGGAAGAGGAGCTCGCTCGCTGTGAAGGTAACTTTATCTCACTTTGGAGGGGCGAGAGGCGAGTTCTGCGGGGGAGAGTTGAGCATCGGGGCGGACGAGGAAGATGGTTTCAAGGAGTTTGAGTTCGATGGTTGCTTTGAGGGTCATGGGGAGCACAGAGATGCTAACAAGCTGCCTTGCGTAGAGGTAGACGGCCTCTTCGTCCATACTGGCGTCGACAGCGGCGTTGGAACCGCTCATTAATTCATTGGAGAAACGTTGGAGGCCAAGAATGGGTGTGGTTGATAAAGAGGGAGAAAATGAGGGTTTTTATTTTAAGGGAGATCAAAACAAAGCGATGCACCCAACAATGTTAATGGTGAATCAATCAATTTTTGTGATGAAACCACCAACCTTATTTTCTACTATCCCTATTGTAAGGTTAGCTATTTTTTTGTTGATTTTTATTAGACCACCTTAAACTTTTTTTTATTTTCATTTATATTTCTCATTTTAATAATTTATCTTCACATTACTAGTTTTTTTTTAAATTAAAATTTTCATCAATTTTTTTTAATTATTTTAAAATCTCCAAATTCTCTTTTATAGAAAATTTATGTAATTAAATTGAATAAATTACACTAAGGTGAGATTACAATATTTAAATTTATTTTTTTATATATTTTTTATTAATAAGTTGTAGCTTTTTTTATATATTTATTATTCGTTAAAAAATATTTGTTAATTATTTTTTTATTTAAATTAGATATGAAAACCTTAAATTAGATATTTAAAAAAAAATTAAAACTCTAATGTCAATTTCAAACTTGAATGAAAAAAATTGAAGATATTTTTAAAATTAAAATTTTATGCCCGCATGTAAATAGGCTAATTATTGAATTTTGAATATATTTCCTAAAAAAAATGAATAAATTAATTTTAAACTTTAAAGCATTCCCTCCCCCCCCATTATCCTCTCTCTACTTATCTCACTCTTTAAGTTTTCTCACTATCAAGCTGTTAGATTCCCCATTGATCTCTTTCCTCCAACCGCTCTAATATGAAATTACTACAGTGCCCAAATTATTATAAATTAAATGCACAAATTGATTCAATAACTCTATAGTAACTAGAGGTATAAGTGAGCGAGTTCTACTTGTTAATGAGCTCCCATGCTTAGATTATCAAGGCCGAGTTTGAGTTTTAACATATACTAAGCTTGTACTTTAAATGAGCTCGAGCTCAAGCTCAACTCATAAGCTTTTCGAGAAAAGCTACTCGATTAACTTAAAATATATTGATTAAAATTATTTTAAATTAACATTATATAATATATTTAAATCTTTTAAATTAATTCTATATTAAAAATAAAATATCTATAAAAAATGAATTTTAATTTAAAACTAAGCCCCCAAAGGATTTAAAGTAAACGGTTACAAGCCCCCAAAGGATATATATAAAGCTCAACTAAATAATAAAAAAATAGCATTTGAAATAAAACAAATTGAGCCTAAGATCCAAATAAACACGATTACAATCAACAAAAGGAAAAATCAAGAAAAGCCAAAAAACAGGCCAATACAGGATCAACAAGAGAGAAGTAGCACCGCTCAAAGTGAAGAAGCCGAGCGCCAACCGGACTCAGAAATGAGGCCACACACACCCACACCAAAGCCAAACAAGGGCTATCCATTGAAGGTAACAAAACATGAACCAATACCGCACCACAATATATTTAAGCAGCAGATTAGGGATAGGAAATTAAATTGATTTCGGTCTAAGCTACTAAGTTTAATTATAGAGTCGCTAATTTAAGTGATGAAACTTTATAATTAATTAAAGAAAGCTGAAGAATTCCATTAAATTTATTGTAAATAGTTATGAAGCAAGTTGGGCAACCTTCTTTATCTTTTTGATATTGTCGTTTTAAACTTCTATAGTTCTTCAGTTTAACCAATCTTCACAAATTTTTGTACTGTTACAGTGTCTAATTGTATTACTTTGCACAAAACACAAGGCATTAAAATCGAGTGTTGATTAGGTGTGGACGTAAGTTGGATTGATGGCTGTATCAGGTAAGCAATTATTTGTTTATTAGTTGTAACAATGCTCTATGTTTAATATGCTTTATATGGATTTGGATAGTTTAGCATTTGCAGGAGATGCAAAAATAATATTAGTGGTACGAAAATGCACATGAAACTAAAGAACAATGTGATATTAAAAGTAAAATAAGACTCATCAAGTTCTCAATATAGTAGTACAAGAAGAAACTCTTATACATTGACTTAGCTTCTATGTTAACAAACATCCCTCAATGTTTTATTCTATTAATAAGAAGATAGTGTTAACACTTGGGGGAAAAAGACCAAAAACAAATGGCCTGTAGTTTTGTAGATAAAATTAAAAAAGACATAACAGTTGGGATAATAGGGATGATGACAATGGGTTTAACACAAGAAGCAAATATTGCTATTTGTGAATGCCAAATAAGAGAAACAAGAGAGATTGATGAACGAGTAATCATAACTAAGATAAAACAAGCCAACATTTATGCATGTAGGTCTTGCAACAATCTACTTGATGAATTCCATAACCCAAATGCCAGCAAATATGTAGATGGATTTGAAATCAGAGAAGCCAGCCTCCTTTGCCAATGATTTAAACTCATTCTCTGTCCTCTCTTTTCCTCCAGGGGTGATTGCCAACATGGCAAGATCAAATTGGAAGCCGGCTTTTGTTGCTATAGCTTCATCGGGCATCACTGGAAGAATGTACTCAACCACAATCACTTTCCCCTTTTCGGGCAATGCCTTCCAACAATTCCTCAACAATTTCACGCAAAGTTCATCGGTCCAATCATGAAGAATCCACTGCTAGATTTAATAATGTTAGCCTTTTTATGTACAAAATCATTAAAATCATTACGGCTCTTCACAAAAATTATTTCATGATTGGGTTCTATTTAACTTCGTTTAATACTTTATCATATATGTTGAGTGTTTGCTAAGCAATTCTAATATGTGATGGTATAAAATAGGAAGTTTGAAAACTTTTGCCAATATGTAAATAATAACAATAATATGTTAAAATGGCAAGCTTTTAGTATTTTAATTCTTCCTACGACTAATAACTAGGTTTCATTGTGATCACTTCTTCCGTCCGAGCTGCTCCAGGTGAAGCTCCCGTCGCCTCTGCCGACCGACCTCCACACTCGACCAGTAGTTGCATTCTCCTCTCACGAGGAGCCGTAGACTAGCGCAATAAACCTCCTCTCGTTGGCCCTCTCTCGCTCAGGAATATGATTCAAGATTCATCAGATAAATGTCTGGCAATTCATGGAATGTTTTCCCCAACGTCCCGTTCGCTAGGGCTCTGCCCTAGCACCTCTTATGCACGAGTTCCGCCGGTGTTGCTCCCGCTATGGCCTGGCCTCGGTTCAGGGTATTTTCTTGCCATTCTTTTGGTGTTTTCCTTCGAGTTGTTTGTGCTTTCTTGGCCCTTGTCGATGGCCGGCAAACAATTAGTTGATCCGAGTTTTCTGGATGGTAAAACCCCTTCTAGGTCTTTTCGTGAGGCTTTATCTAGTAGCTCTTCCTCTTTTCCTGATATGAAAATCTCTACTTGTCGTAGTTTGCCCTCATTGTTGATTTCAGAGGTCAAAATTTTTGCTCTTGCTAAGCCTTTTGATTTCGCTTTGGTTGGGAAATTTCCTACACATCGACCCTCCTTTGAAGCTATTCCTAAATTTTTTTTTCAACCTTAAGCTCATCGGTGAAATTTTGGTAAGTATTCTTAATCCAAAGAATGTTTTAATCAAGTTTGTGAATGATTTGGATTATTGTCGTGTCTTTGCTCACCGCTCATATTTTATCAATAATTATTACATGAGGTTGATTAAGTGGTCGCCTTCGCTTGATGTTGATGTTGAGTCACATATTATTCTGATTTGGGCGTCTTTCCCAAATCTGAGACCTCATCTTTTTTTTTTTTCCTATGATTCTTAATGGCCTTAGGTCCATTTTTTGGCCTCCCCCTTAAAATTGATCATGCCACCTCCACTGGCTCTAGACCTTCAGTTGCACATGTGATGGTAGAATTAGATGTTTTCAAACAATTTCCCGATAAGGTGTGGGTTGGTCCCGACAATTTGGGTTTTATCCCGTCTGTGGTTTTGGAAGATTTGCCGCCGTATTGCTCCCACTGTAAATCTTTGGGGCATTCCAAATTGAAATGTCATTTCATGCACCCACAGTTGGTTGCACATACTAATGTGGGTGTTGAGCCTGACAATAATGGTAATAATTTTCCATTGGTTTTTAAGTCTGTTGAGACCGTTTCTAGTGATCCTTTGCCTACTAGTGGGGTGGGGCTTTCAGTTGTGCTCTTGGCAGATGATTTGTGTGTTCCCGCTGAGCAAGTTGCTAATGAGATTGATGGGTCTTTGATTGTTGCCTTGCCGTTAGCTCATTCTTGTGGCAATAATGTGGATTATGTTGCGGATTGTGATGCTCTTACATGTTGTTTTAATGAGGATGTTGTTGAGGTTGGTGTTCAGAACAATTGCTTACTTAATGTGGCTGCTACTCCTTTCGTTCCTCATGATTCTAATGTACTAATTAATGATGGTGTTCCTAATTCATTTTGTAATGTTAATATGGAGGTGATGAACATTGATTCTACTGATTTGGATCCTTCTGTTGCTTCTCCTGTCACGCATACTAATCTGATTGTGTCACTCTCCTCTATGGGATTATGAGTGAATGAACAGCTTGTTGATGTCCCAGTTGCTTTACTGTCTGCTAACGCATTGTATGCCCATGTGGGATCAAGATCGGGGGATAATGTTAAGGCACAAATTGATTGGCTTGAAGGCTCTTCATTAATTTTCTCCTTTTGAAGTTGACGAAGAGGGTGTGTTTGAACATGTGGGTGGTATGCGTGATTCTTTCGTTTCGGTGGGTAAACGAAGGAAGAGGAAATCCAAAAAAATAGCTTTTTGTGCTTGGTTTGGTGGATGCTGCTTTGGAGCCTTGGGGTGTTCAGTTGATTCTTCCGAACAAACGTAAAATCGAGCTGATTCTTACCGAGCTAGCTAGAAATCGACCTAATTTGAGCCAACTTTCATAGGTTCAAGCTGATTTTGAGCCAGCACTAAGGATCTGTTTTGGATGGCTGCAATTTCTTATAAAGTTTTTTGTAAAATTGTTATGAGAAAAAAATAATTTTTTGAAAGGCACTTTAAAACACAACTTTTCTATCACATAAATTTCTTCAAAATAATAGCCAAACATAAAAGCTTCATTTGAGACAGTTTTCACAGCCAAAAATAAAAAGTTATCCCAAACAGACCCTAAATCACCTCAAAATTAATTTGTTCTCATCCCTGATTTATGAACCATGCTCTAACCCACCTATAATCTTACTTTTTATACTCAGTTTAAAAATATTCACTGCGATGATGTAAATATATCCCCCCACCCCACAAAAAAAAAAGATGTAAATATGTAGTTGTATCGCTTTCAATAATATTAAATGCTTCTAACTAAACCTGTCAATATTGGACCCGACCAGGAATTTTCGGGTTTGGGTTGACCCGAAGCGGGTTCGGGTTCGGAAAACCGACCCGTTCGTAAAATTAGGTTGGGTTCGGGTTGACCCGACGGGTTGCCGGGTCAACTCAAAAACCCGTTTAATTTAAAAAAATTGGTACTTCTAACCTAAAACGATAAAAGTTTCTTTCACATGTGTTTAAAGACCGAGCCATAAGTCAATCATTCTACGTGCAGAAAGGCAGAAAACCAATAATTGATGCGGGAATCTAATAATTTTAAAATTCATTTTGCATCAATATATCTCACTGATTTTTCTTATAAAATTTAAGAATAGAGAGGTAAATATAATTATAAAAAATAAATTGAGTTAATATGTATTATATGTTAGTAACAAAGGAGATGAGCGTAATTAAAAAAAAAAAGCAAAAATGGTCAGTGTAATAGTAACTATCTAAAAAAAACTAAATGAAATTCAAATTTAAAATTTTTAGGATAAGTAATTTAAATTTAAAATAAAATGAGAATTTTTTTTTTCAAAAGCAATGAGTTTGACCTTCAGAAAAACAGCATCAGCAGTGGGAACGCTTTCGAACATATCTCCACTCACATGCTCAACACCTGTTATCATCTATTAACATTTCAACATCTGTACGCGCGTTCCACCAATCCATGAAATAATAAAAATAAAATAAAAATTCATGTAAGCAAATCAATAAACCTGGAAGAGCAGGGGCCACAGAGATAACATGCAGAAGATCAAAATTAATTCCTCGAATCCCAGCATACTTGGTCGTAATCTTCCCCAACGTCGCCGCCACTCCGCCTCCCACATCCACCAATGAACCCAACCCACTAAAACCCTCATAAATCTCCAACAATTTATTCATAATGATAGTCGAATGGCCTGTCATCGCATCACTAAACACCTTTTGGAAGCTTGGATGCATTCCCTGGTACTCAAAAGTTGTCATCCCATAGGCCTTATTAAACGGAAAACCGCCTTCGATCACCACATCCTTGAGGTAATACCAGGTCTCCGTCATAACCTTATCATTCAATAGAACGAGAGGAGCCATAGAAACTCCATCAGCGTTGGGCGTGAGGAACTTACAGGCCGGTGCAGCGCCATAGCGGCGCTCGCCGGATGGGGAGAGAGAGCAAGTGAGGATGGAGTAGCTGGCGAGGAGGCGGAGAATGCGGTCAAGAATGACGGGGGCTTGGGGGTTTGAGATGATGGGGAGGCGAGAGGCAAGTTCTGACGGAGAGAGTTGAGCGCCGGGGCCGGCGAGGGAGATGGTTTCGAGGAGTTTTAGTTCGATTGCGGCTTTGAGGGTCATGGTGATGGCGGATAAGCTGACGAGCTGCGTCACATAGAGGCAGACGGCCTCGTCGTCGATACTTCCATCGGCGGTGGGGTTGTAACTATCCATTAATTATGTGGAGTAAGGTCGGAGGGGATGCCTGCGATGGAGTTGTGGCTGCGTGGCAGCGCGGTGGGTGGGATTTGGGAGGGTGGGGTTTACTTTTAAGGGTGACTGATAAAGAACTCAACAACCTAAAACCGCCGTTACCCATTTGGAAATAATCAAATTTTAATTAACTTTAGATATTTTAATTAACTTTCAAATTATCTTTTAAATATTTAACAAAATTAATTTGAAATATTAATTTTTTTTTAACATAATGAATATTATAACTATTATATTTATTTTAAGAAATATAAATTTTGATTAGCTCAAATATAAATATAATTTAAATTAACTTATTAATCATAGTTATTGATATATCATAAAAAAATTAATCTGATCGGGCACGAATCTCGAGGCCAAATTAAGTTAGAAACTTCCAAAATTAAATTCGGGACCATTCGAACTCTAATTTTTGCAAACTTATACTATAACTGGACGTCTAAAAAAACGAACCCAACGAAACCCAATTCGAGCCAAAATGGGTCCAAGTCGAAGAACCGAAGTGCACTTGGAAGGCTTAAATTATAAATTGGATGACCAAATGGTTTCCAAACGTGACATTCTCATAGTCAAATCAAGCGGCTTGACGAGACGAATCGAACGAGTCTAAGATTGTTCAATGTTGACATCATTAAGGTACTTAAAAACTTGATAAACAGTCCATAATCAAAGGAGTCAATATCAGTCATTCATTCAAAACACTCCCAACATGCTCTTGGTCTCCTCCCTATTTACTGGCCACACAACTCCTAAAAAACTACAAATAGACTCTCATTCTTCATTGAAGGTGGAAGGAAGGAGGAAGCATGGGAGCAATGAAGAGAAAGAAGAGATTAGAGTAAGAGAAATCTGAGATCTCTCTAACCATCAAACTCCTCCACGACCATCTCTTGGCCACCGATTGTCGTCGGACTTATGGCCGGCATTCGATTGTCGGTCGACTTTCGCCCGACCACCAACTATTGCCGGATTTACGCCTGGCCACTAACAATCATCATACTTCCGTCCGGCTTCCAACTATTGTCAGATTTTTACCCGACCACCGACCATTGCTTGACTTCCCCTCGACCACAAATTATTATTGGACTTACACCCGACCATCGATTATGATCGATTTCCTACTGACAATCGTCGCCCGACTACGACCTTTCTGACCTTTTTCGCCCGTCGACTATGGTCCTTTCAACCTCCATCGCCGGATAACAGTCTTTCTGACCACCGTCACCCTACTACGGTTCTTACGACCTCCATCGCCAGACTATGATCTTTCGACCTCCGTCAACCGTCGACTACAGTCCTTCCAATCTTCATCGCATGATGACAATCTTTCTAACCTCCGTCGCTCGCTGACTATAGTCCCTCCGACCTCCATCGCCTGATAATGGTCTTTCTGACCTACGTTGAATGCCGATTATGGTCCTCCCAACCTCCATCGTCTGACAACAATCTTTCCGACCTTCGTCACCCACCAACTACGGTCCTTTCGACTACTTCTTTCTGACCTCTTTTACCCGCCGACTACGGTCTTTCCAACTACACTCTTTCTGACCTCCGTCGTCCTCTAACTATGGTCCTGCCGACCAAACGAATATATCAATACTAATTGTTCTAATTCCCACCATGTAATGCACTCTATATGATGTATATTAGCTACATCAAGCGAAGGTCTTCTCCCTAAAGAAGGGCCTCATTTGTAATTGATTTGAAGCACTAGTGGATTCATTCAAACTAGGGTAGGCCTCGTGGTTTTTTCTCTTTTTAAGGGGTTTCCACGTAAAAATTATGGTGTCTATAATGAATAAAATACCCCTATCTTTTATCTATATGTATGTTGGATCTTCGTACAAAGCTAAGATGTTAAAGTTTATATTTCTCTACCACCATGAATATTTCAGGACGCGACAATTTGACACCATATGTGGGAACATCGTTCCTGACTAGGGGAAAGCTATTGCACCAATCTCGAAAGATCGGTCATGTCATTGTCTTGACATCAGCTATTGTTGCATTAATTTTCTAGGAATCAGACGTGGACTGAGGGACAACCTTGACTATAGCCATGGTAAAAAAGATTCCTCCAATGCTTCCAACATCCAAGATGATATCTTGAAAAACTATTTTTCATAAAGCTTCTAGCAAATACAATGATATTTCTAATAAATTGCAAGCTTTATACATTCCATAGATGAACTTCTACTCCTTGGATAAAGTCTTAATCTCGACCTCAAAAAAGGCAATAATAATCTAAAGGTAGGCCATTCTTCACCTTTGATTTGGGATATATGCGGTATTTTTCCCCTTCCAATCAAGGCATAATCAATCCCAGGGGGATTCAATTCAACCTCTTCGACATAGGCTAATATCATCAAGCAATGCTTTGACTAAGAACTTTGGATAGGTCAAACATTCTAGGAGTATGTCAATTAAATCTTAAAATCTTTGATTCGATAAATATATAATCTTTATTATCTCAATAACTAGATGATCAATTCCTGGGGGATTCGATCTGATCTCTTTCACGTAGGTTAACATCATTAAGTAATGCTCTAACACACAACATCAAACAAGTCATACATCATTGATGGATTCTCTCAGTCTCTTCCACATAGGTTAATGTCACCATGAAATACTCTTATAAATAACATGGATAGGTCTTACATCCTTGATGGATCTCTCGACCTCTTTCACTGATGTTAACGTTATCGAACAATACTCTCACATAAAACTCGATGTTCACCGCACGGGCTAGCTTGAATTTTCTCTGATTTACCATGGGCAGCAACTATTGGACCTTATCGACTCTTTCTAAATGCTAACATAGAATTAGGTTCATTACCGGCTTTGTACATTTACTAGTGGATTTTTATTATTGATAGACCTTAAAGGCATAATATAAAAGTAATAAAATAAATATCTCAGTCAACGTCATGATCGTACATTTGTTTGATGGTTCAAACCGTGTCGGGTCCTATCTACTTGTATAGAAGGATCAAGTTCAAACTTGAATTTATCATTTGACCGCGCAGTATCCTCAGACGTCATGTGTATACCCTTAACACGCTCTTCGGGTCCCATGCGGTGTGTATTCTTACATGTATACAATATAATATGATTGTATCTGCACTTTTGTGTTTGTGTATATACATATTACAGTACATCTATAGGGGCATACTTTTATTTGACCCTAATTAGTTGTGCAGGTAACTGTCATTTGACGTACGTGATGTTTTATTTGAGAGATTATAGATGCCTTCTATTTACTTTTATGACTGTTGTAGATTCGGTGGCATGGAATCCTAGGTGTGAATTGCTTGTTGCTTTCTATGGGTAGGCTGTCATGTACTAATAAACCTCCTATATTATTCATAGGTGTCTGCATTTGTCATAAGTTTCTATGCTTGCTTGCAAATAGCATATTGTGTATATGATGGATCTTCTACGACGACTTGTAGATGTTTACATTTTCTACATTTCACTTGTCTTTGCTTTTAGAGATCGGTGTATTCACTTATCACTAAGTGATTGTTGACCATCAATTGAGCTATATTTGCAACTAATTCATTCATTGCTTGTCGGCATTCATATCTCAACTAGTATGCTCTATATGAATGCGTCACACTATCCATTTAAAGTTTCACATTATGGTTTGCAAGCAATATATTGCGCTTGCTGCAAATCTTCTCATTCATATTTTCTAGAGAATTCATCGCACTTGCAATGCCCCCATGTTATAACTTGTAAGCACAATCGTTGTAGGCACTGTGAGACTTCTATCGTTATCCACGGGTGAGCTGTATTGCATGCAAATCGTCTAACATAACCTGTATATATCTTTATTTCACTTTTCTCGTGCATCTTGCTTGTGATGTTTATGACAAATCTCCTTAAGTGACCTTTATGACGTATTTCTCATTTCACATTATTGCTTGTGATGCTTTTAAGTTTGTATTCGATACATATCATCTTTTCTTTCTTGTAGTGAATTGGTGTATTCGCTTGCAAATTGATGTTGGTTGTGAGAGTGTTGTAGCATCTATTACTTGCTGCTTGCTATCGTCTCTATGTAGACTAATGTATGTATTTCATATCTCCAACTACTACCCATAAATGTTCTGCTAAATACATGTTGAGATTTCTAGGGCATTGCTTCATTCATCACTAACCTTTTCATGCATGCTGGCTAGTGAGCTATTATGTTCATTCCACATTAATTTTCAGTACTTGTAGGGTACTACAGCTTTCATTTGTCAACTAGCTGATGTTGGCTGAAGTGATATTATAATATATGACTGCATGTCAACTTCCTTCATTTTGCAAGGGACTTGTGCATTTGAAAGGTCCATATTATCATTTAGCGTTGGCAATTTAGAGCGATCATTCGTTTTTTAATTTGAAGTCCAGTTCCCTGCTGTCCGTTTGAGTTTAAGCCTACTATGTTTAATTCAAATTTAGATCCTCTGTACATTTGAATTTTCGGCAGCCTTCCGGCATCTCTCCTATTTAGGGGGGATTTTGGTAGTCGGGCCTTCCTCTCCACGCTACGAGAGTGCTTTAGGTTGGAGTCGGGAGACACCTTGACCGTATTTCTTCAAGCTCTTCCACGCTACAAGAGTGCTTAAGAGTCTTCGAGATACCTGTTTTAAAAATGTGTAACTTTCTTTCCTTGCTGGCATTGAGGCGCCTACTGGTACTTAATTTCGTCCTCGTCATGCTACAAGAACGTTTCGAGGCCCACCCACCTCGTCGCAAACGTCACACCAGATTCCCTCCCACAAAGCTACTAGAGTGCGTAGGGTGATCTCCCAGTGTTCATTTGGGGAAATTTCATGCATAACACACAAATCTTCTACTTTCAATTTTCATATTTGATTTTCAAATTTTGGCTCAAATATGAAAATTCATAACAAAACCCTAACTCTTTTTTTTTTTTTTTGCTTTTCTTTTTCTTTATATATATATATATTATTAAATTTTAATATTAATAACTATTATTAATATTAAAATTAATAAGAATTAGCGGGAAGGGACATAAATGGCGCCGGTCTACAGATAAGTGGGAATTCTTGCGGGTTTTCTGGCAGGATTTATGCTGCGTAGGCCAACCTGCATGATTATAAATTTGACAAAAGATTGTGAGTTAACATTGTCAAGATTATCTTTTTCTTACGTCACCTGTGCTCATAGCTCTGTATGGCTTTAAACATTGTAATTTAAGCAGCGGATTGGGGACGGAATTGAATTGATTTCGGTCTAAGCTTTTAAGTTGAATTATAGACTCGCTTCAGTGATTGAAATTTATAATTAATTAAAGGTATCTGAAGAATTCCATTAAATTTATCATACATAATTATGTAGCAAGTTGGGCAGCCTTCTTTCTCATTTGATATTATTGTCTTTTTAAACTTGTATAGTTGAGTTTAACCAATCTTCACAAATTTTTTCGACCGTTACAAGATCTAATTCTATTACTTTTCACAAAACACAAATTTTGAGGTTACCATAATTAACAATAATTCTAATATATCCTTGAAGGTTACCATAATTAATAAGAAATGTGTTATTCTTTATTAAATTAGTAGTTTATTTTAGAATCATTCAGGCTCTATGATGTGTGAAATTATATGAATAAAAATCACATAAGTCTTTTTCGATTGTTGCATTTTAATGAAATTACTATATGCATAAAATCACTTATTTTCTTTATGATCATTAAATTTAGGCAATTATAAGATGGGACAGCTTTCTTACTGATTTGCTTTTCAACTTCCTCTATATTACAAAAATAATATTTTTATCAACAAAAAATGTGATTATTTGGATGCTAATGACGATGTCCCAAATAAGAGAATTTTTTTTTTTCCGTTGTATTTTAGGCAGAACAAAGATAAACAAGTCCTCCTTTGATGCTCCACCCAGATAATGTCATATAGTGAAAAAATCATTAATAGCCCACATTAATGCAACACAAATCTTGAATGTTTGTCCAATTATAATATCACAACTTTGAACTCTATATCATAATTCATAATGCTCATGAATAAGTACTTGAAAATAAATGTCAATATCATTTCCTACACTTTTTCTCATGTTAAAATAGCACATAAAATGTATATATATATATATATATATATATATTTCATTACAATCCAATGAAGCATGCTATAAGGAATCAAAAGCACAGAGCAAATACTATACATATTACTCATCAACTTAAATGAATTAAATCCATCACTAGCTAAACTGAGATAAATATTACATGGATCAAAAGCAAAATCAGGATATTGAGAGTCAAAGTGATTTATAGTCGGGTTTTAAAGATTTTTTTTTTTTCACTTAGATTTCTCCCATATTTATGTTGTATTTAGAAGCGTGTGGCTTTAAAATGTTATTCATTTGGCTATCAAATATAATTAAGATTGCAAGTGAAAGTTCATTAATTGATTATGCCTCTTCAACAATTTGTTCTTATCAATAAAGTTTTGTTTGTGACAGCTTTTTGACGATTTTTTAAAATAATGTTTTAGGTAAAAAAAATTGTAATAAAAAATTGTTTTAAAAAGCAGTAAGAAAGCTGTCCCAAATAAAACCTTAAGTGAATAGTTTTAGAAAAAAAAACATGCAAAATAAGAGAAACAAATGGCAAATAGTTTTGTAGATAAAATTAAAAAAGACATAACAATTGGGATAATAGTGATGATGACAATGAGTTTAACAATGAACAATAAGCAAATATTTATTTTAGTGAATGCCAAATAATAGAAACAAGAGATGAACGAGTAATCGAAACTAAGAAAAAAGAAGCCAACATAATGCATGTAGCTCTTGCAACAATCTACTTGATGAATTCCATAACCCAACTGCCTGCAAATATGTAGATGGATTTGAAATTAGAGAAGCCAGCCTCCTTTGCCAATGATTTAAACTCATTCTCCATCCTCTCTTTTCCTCGAGGGGTGACAACAAACATGGCAAGATCAATCTGGAAGCCACCTTTTGTTGCTATAGCTTCATTGGGCACCACTGGAAGAATGCACTCAACCACAATCATTTTCCCCTTTTCGGGCAATGCTTTCCAACAATTCCTCAACAATTTCATGCACTGTTCGTCGGTCCAATCATGAAGGATCCACAGCTATATTTAATAATGTTAGCATTTTAATGTACAAAATCAATAAAATGATTACGGCTCTTCACAAAAATTATTTCATGATTGAGTTTGATTTTCCTGGTCCGTAAAGAAACAAGTAACAGTTGCAAAATTCTCAACCGAAGCTGAGTATCGCTCCATATCCTCCACCACCTCCGATGTCCTATGGCTACGCAGACTAGTTGCAGAAATTCAAATTCCTCAACAATCACCGGCTGTAATCTACTGTGATAACCGTCTGCCATTGCCCTTGCAAACAACCCGGTGTTTCATGCAAGTACAAAATACATTGAAATTGACTACTATTTCATCAGTGAACATATCAAGGCCGGCGCAATAAACATCTCGCACATCAGCTCCACCGACCAAATAGCAGACGTTCACTTTCGACGGCATGGTTCTTAGATCTTCGTCTCAAACTAACCATTCATTCCATGAATGCTTAGTTTGCGGGGCCTGTGAGCACAACAAACATTGGCATGGATCACCAGAGTGGCCAATAACTGACTATGACACTTCGCCTGCAGTTGTAACCAACCTCTACCAACAGTTACCCACAACTTGTATAATTAATTACCTTGTTCAAATTTATATATACTCAAACTGTACAAATCTTATGTATTAATGAAGCCGTGAGACAAGTTTCTCTTGCTGTTACATATTTCTTTTCTCTAGAGTTTGCTTTTCTGTTTCTTTCTTTGCTTAGCCAGCAGGTTTGTCAGTGGAATTTTTATTAGGTTCGGACACCTGACGTAGCTCTACATCCGGACGAATAAAATGTCGTCACGTGCTCTTACTCTTTACCGCGTAGCTCAACGACCCGACTCGGAACGGAAACCCGGTATTGCTATGTTCATGTATTGCTAGGTATTGCTTGACAATAATAAGAAATATCGCTCTATCAAGATCAATACCGAGCAATATCTAGCAATACCGAGCAATACCTAGCAAAACCGGGGTATTGCTCGGTATTGCTAGGTATTGCTCGGTATTGATAGGTATTGGTCTTGACATAATGGTATTTCTCGTTACCGAGCAATACCGAGAAAAACATAGCAATATCGTGGTCTTTACAAATCAGCTAATACATAGCAATATTGGGTTCCGGTCCGGGCCAAATCGTCGGGCCGCGCGGTAAAGAATAAGAGCATATGGAGACATTTTATTGACGTATGGACGTAGAGCATTGTCCGGACCCAAAAAATATTCCTGTCAGTGGGTGCGCGAGAGTACAATGGGTGGATTTGAGGGCAAATTATTGGGTCAGGTGACCGAACGCAGAGATAGGTTCGGATAATAATAAAAAGCAATACCCCGGTTTTGCTAGGTATTGCTCGGTATTGCTAGGTATTGGTCTTGACATAATGGTATTTCTCGTTACCGAGCAATACCGAGCAAAACCTAGCAATACCGTGGTCTTTACAAATCAGCTAATACATAGCAATATTGGGTTCCGGTCCGGGTCGGATCGTCGGGCCACGCGGTAAAGAGTAAGAGCATGTGGAGATATTTTATTGACGTCCGGACGTAGAGCGTTGTCCGGACCTAATAAAAATTCCTGTCAGTGGGTGCGCGAGAGTACAATGGGTGGATTTGAGAGGGTGAGGTTTAAGGGTGACTGATAATTCACCAACGTTTCGCCAAAAAAAGCAAAAAACTCAACAACCGCGTGCTTACCTAATACGGCCGGTACCCATTTATCAATCATGTGGTTAAGGCAGACACGTAATAATAATAATATTCTATTAAATAAGCCTCAAGTATGCTTTATGTCATGGTCCATTAACCCATGGGGCAAATTTTTAAAATAAATACGGTTAATAATATAATTAGCAATTAAATCAATAAAAAAATTAAATTTACAACTAGGCAAAGTCGCCCATTCAATGAGCAACTTGCCAAGTTTTAAAAATATTAAAAAAAAGGATTTCAGGAGAGATAATGTAGGAGAGAGAAATTAACTAAAAAGTATATAAGAAATATAAGAGAACTAAAGTATGAGAGATATTCATGTATGTTAGAAGTTAGGTCATTAAATTTATTTATTAAAATGTTAAATGTAAATATTTTTTCTTATTTTTTAATAAATAATTTAGAATGAATTTTTTATGAGTAATTATGTGTCAAAAATTTTCACAAATTAATTTATCATAATCAATTTAAAAATACATATTTTTATGTATTTTTATTCATAATGTATTATTATTATTTTAAATTTATCTTATTTTAAAGAAAATAATATTTTATATAAATATTTTTCTTTTTTTCATTAATCAATTAAAATGAATTCTATAATTAATACTAATAAGTACTAAATGTAAGTTTAATAAATATAACATAATTTTTAGTAAATTTTCATTTTTAAAAAAGATAAATATTTATTTAAAATATAATTTTCCTTGGAACAAGATAAATTTAAAATAACGATAATTTATTATGAATAAAAAATTATAAAAAAATATGTATTTTTAAATTGATTATGATAAATTAAATTGTAAA